TAAAATAATGTCCACAAAAGGAGCTAATGCTTACATCGTACTTCCTCCAGGGCCAGGATGAGAGTCAGGTGAGCAAGGGACTCACTTCCAGAACAAAGTTTACAAGAGTGCTAAAAAATCCAGTAATCAAGATAATAGCAATAAAATATTTAGATAAAAATCAAAATTAATACCCCAAAAAGCCATGATAAAGGAATCACAATTTGAAATGAAGATGAGATCAATATTGTTGGTTTTCTTCTTTGCCTTAGGTTCCAATATGGCTTATTCTGTGCCTGGCACTGGGATTAAGCACTGTATCTACTTCTCCAACAATCCTGAGACAGCCCTCTTTTACAAATCAGGAAACTGAGGCACAGAAGTTAAAGAACTAGCCCAAGGTCACAGAGCTGTTACACTGCAAAACTACTTTAAACAGGGTATTAAGAGGTCATTTTTACTTTCCTTGACCATAAAGATAAATCAACACCTATTTATAAAGCTACAAGGTATCAGATTTTCAGATACCATCCACAACTTGGAAGATTTAAAACGCAAGCTCAACATACATCCTTCTTCCTTAGAAGGTAAGTAATACAAGGCAATCTGGACAGAGAACCAAAACCCTACTGTACTCGAACCTTTTTCATTTTATATTTTTGTCCACATGTAAGTGAACCTCCTGAGTGAAGACAAGAGAATACAGAAACAGGAACAGGGAGGGAAGGAAGGAAGGGAGGGAGGAACAATGTCACCTGGAGACCTCTACCCACCCAGGGCAGGGCAATTCCTCCATGCACAGAACTGAGATTCCTGGCCTGGGTCCACCAGTCACCCACCACATACAAGGCTGACAGGCCTGGCCCCTCTGCAGCCTCTGCCACCCTCCTCACCACCCCCTGCCTCAAACCTCTGCCCAGAGAACACTGACTGCATTGCATCCTTCAGAAGCCTCACCTGCATGTCTCTAGAAATGCTGTCTGTCAATCTGGATTGTTCCCCTACTTCATCCTGATCTTAACCTGTCCAATGCCTGCTTACCTCTCAAGGCTCAGCTCACATGCTCCTCTTTCATGAGGCTCTCCAGAATATTCTGTCCTAAAGAATATCTTCGTTCTCTGCTCTCCAGCTAAAATGAGGTGAAGCAAGACCCCTGTTTCAAAGGGCTGCCAAACCTACCTCTGCTCCAAGTTGTTTTAGGATTTGAAAATAATAATAACATTAGTACAAATTCCAAGACCCCATCCTTCTGAACTGAACTTCTGAACTGGAACTTCTGAATTGGAACCTCTAGGAGAGGCCCAAGGACCTGCATTTTTCATAGCTCTGCAGGTGGTATCTATGCAGCAGGCTTTTTACCCATCTGTGTTTTGGAATCATTGATCTTAAATACAATAACTTAAGATACAGGAAGAACACCCATGATGTTTAAATGCAGATCCCATACAAAGAAAAGTGGATGAGTTCCCAGAAATATCTCTGCACAGGTATGATACAGATGACAGTGTTTGATTGATAGTAGGGGCTAGAGTAAGGTAGAGACTGAAGCCAAAAGTTTACTGTCCACCACAAGATGGAACACACACCTTAGTTTTATTCAAAATGCCAGGGTAGACTTCAGCTTATTAATGACTGATCATTTTCTACTTGGCTGACCTTGTTGGAAAAACGAAAACTTTCTAGAGGGTTCTTCTACTAGAACCACCTGTCCCCTACCTCCCCCATTCCTTTCCCTACCCCCAAAATAAATTGCCTTCCAATTTCAAACCAGTAAGAAAGGACCTACGGAGCAGTTCAAGCTTCACACATCTCTCATACATTAGTAATGGTATGATCACATACTGTAACATTTGCTTAGCAGTGTACCTTCCTAAAGAGGATCTAGAACAAAACCAACCCTAGTATTTTGTTGCCTACAACCCCATCACAAACACCTTACTTACTCATAGGCTGAGTTACAAACTTTCATTTAAGCTCAAATTTGTGACCATTATAGGATAGCTGCTACCTAAAAGCAATGAAGCAATCTGTTTAGAGAAAGTAAAGTACATTTCTAAGGATTTCCTTTCTCCTCACCATAAGAGGCATAAAATGCCAAAGTCACATCTTCCATATGCATCCTCCAAAATTCACTGCAATTAGGCCAAGAAATTAAAAAATATCCCATCCAATGTTATAGGCTTAATGTACTATTATTTTCCTTTTAAATAAATCTGCTACTCAGACTATAAATGTATTGATACAACTTTCATGAGCTTGCCTATTCCCTGATGTTAGTTGAAGAAAAGAGAGTAAAATAAAAAATTTTAAACAAGTTTTGTTTGGCAGCATTCTTAAACTAAGACCATGTTAAATAATACCTTCCCCATCATTTCATTTTGAAATACCTGCACCACATCCTACTATAGGTGCTCATTAATTTGGTGGAAAACACAGGACTCTAGATTTACTGCAATAGAATTAAAGCAACCAAAAATGTTGCCATATTCACTCCCCAAGTATGCTACCTCCAAGTGTCCACTTATCTCAAGGACATACATCTGAAATATAACAGCAATAGACTGTCTCATGGTCAAGTTCTTTTCAGCTCACACTCTCTGCAATTCAGTGATACCTATTAGAGCCACAGTTAAAGGGGCTCACTTTATCCTTCTACTATAACACTAATTTTGTCATACACTATACAACCCAGCACTTATAACAAAACAGAATACCTTAGGAACTTTCACTAAAGCAGTTAAAAAAAAAACAAAACAAAACACGGAAGGACCACTCTCCTTCATATTAGTCATTAATGTATTTATGAATGGGTCGATTCATGCATTAAATCCCTTACTTGCTCATTCAGCAAGCATTTCTTAACCACAGAGCACCGTCCAAGAAATGAGATATAAGGAACACATAATCAAGTTCTGGAGTAAGGTGTCTAAAAGTGCTCTAAAAGGGATGCAAACAAGTCACTTTAAAGTGTGACAGGGAGAAGCCAGATCTGCACTGTCCAACATGGTAGCTGCCAGCCACATGAGGCCACTCAACATTTGGCTAGTTGAACCTAGATGTGCTATATACACACTACGTTTCAAAGTCTTCTAGTCCTTTCTAGCATGATCCAGCTAAGGAGGTCTGTATGGGAGTGCTGGCCCTGCTAGGGGCTCCCGGGCCTCCCCACACCTCCTCTGGGCTGCCATCAGCCTGCCCTCCCCAGACCCTTTAGGTAGGCAGGTCTGATCATCAGGTCCAGAATAACGCTGAGACCCCGCAGCCCTGACGAGCTCCCAGGTATGCGGAGGCTGCTGGCCCAGGGAGTGCACCTGAAACACAGGGACAAGCGAGATTGTGTCAAGCAGTGAAAAGAATAAAAGATATTCAAGGGAAAAGGAACTACATAGCCAAAAGGGTTGAAAGAGCATAGGAACAGCAAGACTGTATAAAGAAGCAGCACCACAGGCATAGAAAGCAGGAGGGAGAGAAGGCCAGAAAGGTGAATGGAATTGGAAAGAAAAGAATTGTACTCTGCAGTCAGGAGTCTGGATTCTACCTCTCCAATGAGAACTTTAACGCAGAGCCTCCTTTTCACAGTATATGTAGTAATAAAAATAATTACTGTAAAGTAAATATGAGTATTTATTAATATTTCAATTACCTGCAAAATTCCTGGGAAGATGGCAGAGGTACAGTATAGCAACTTGATCATTATAGACCCAGTATGAGACTCCAAAATCTTAATTCTTGGATCCACTGCTCATTTATTATTATATCATTACGTGACCTGAGGAACAATTTAAATGCTGTGTTTGTGTTCTAAGCAAAGTAATACTTGCTTCATATCTACTTCACAGAAGTCTTTGGGAGATTAGATGTGGAAATTTTAAAAATTGTTCCTCACAAGAGGTATATAATTTACATTCAAAGAGTGTCTATTATTTTAACCAGATACTTGTCAAGCTGATGAGAGAGGAATGGCTAATTGTCTTGGAGAGAAGCAGCCAGAAATGACAAGCCAGGATGAGATGGGCCTGCGGTCGGGTGAGGAAGGCAGTGATTACAGGGAATGGCACATCTTCACCAGGAACACTTTGCAGTAGCTCAATCTTAAGTGCCCTCCCTCCCACCATTCAGGACAGACCAAAATCATAACACAAAAACAAAAACATTTTCCAACTCCCCACACTGGATTAAAAGCCAGATGTTAGTGCCCTCTGAGTATCTGACAGTGGGATAGATAGCCTCTAAGATCACTGTGAACAATAATATTCAAAACCACAGCCTAATTTATGCCTACACCAGATCTCCACCCCTGCCCTAAGTGTGTGTGCACACAGGCAACACAGCAACGAGGCAGTGAGAAGGGACAGCTGAGCGCAAGATGCTGACACCGGCCTGCTGTTGGTGCTATGTCCAAGTGAAGGCTGGGGAAAAGATGTCACTAAGTGTTTTTGTCTCTAAAAATGCTAAGAGGGAGAGTTCTATTTGAGCTAAATATATTCTCTGTTCCATATAGAATCTAATAGTCCCTTTGGGACCATTTAGAGAAAAAAGTGATTAAGAGTTTATTAAATGTTTTCTTTCACTGTAGTTAGAATTATATGTCTAATACATAAAATTTGCTTATGTCAAACATCCAAGGGAGTAATTGAGTTTTACCTTAAAGAGAAAAACAAAAATATGACATTACTTTCAATAATATACCTTAATATCGTCAAGCTGCACTATGAGGTACCTTTTGATATCCTACATTCACACATACAACTTTTTCAAAGAAGTTTCATATATCTTATAAATTTAATTTTATCAGGGCCTTGTCATAGGTTTTAATATTTAGTTTGCCAAGTAACAACACTAAAATACAAAATCCAGTCAAACAAAACCAAATAACACCAACCATTGCCACTGCTTCATAAAGAAAGGTTTTGAAAACACTCATACCACACACGTTCACACAGATACACCCACACTTAAAACTAGGAATAGCAATCTTAGAATTCTTTTTAAGATTTTAAATGAAATTTTTAAGAACTTACATTTTTCTTATTTTTCTCATTTCTCCACAGGCCAAAAAAAGCTTTGCCATGGTCTGAGGACCAGCACTTGGGAACCTAGGAGGAAAGCAATGCAGTGCTCAAGGGAGTAAAGGCAGAGCTCTTTGCAAACCTGGGTTTGGGTTGGCTCTTAAAGAATAAGTAAGAATTGTATTGGTGCTTTAAAAAAAAATTTTTTTTTAAATCAACGAACTAGACTTCATCTACTTCAGAGAAGTCCACTGCATGAGTGTCAACAGAGAAGTCCACTGCATGAGTGTCAACAGAGGCTGGCACATGCACAGCATATGATGCAGATGGGCCCCTGTTCTGCCTACGTTGGGCGGGTTGTGAGCATTTACCCTTTGTATGACAGGCTTAACCTGAAGCATGAGATATTCTAATGTAGTTCTTCTCTACTTTGGATGATTTTACCCTCTTCCAGGGCACCTTTGGCACTATCTGAGGATATTTTTGGGTGTCATGACTTGCGGAAGGTGGGGCTGCTATTGGCATATAGTGAGTAGGGCCAGGGATGGTGCTAAACATCACACAATGCACAAGCCAGACCTCTCCAACAAAGAATTACCCAGCCCAAAACTTCAGTAGTGCTAAGCTGAGAAACCCTGCACCAATCCTATTAGAGGAATTACTTTTCAAATGAGAATCTTCTTCTGCAACAAAGGAATATGTATCCAGGGAGTTCAGTGTATTCATCCTATATTTATATAATCATGTCATTTATATATAATTATATATATGAGTATATATATTACATATCCATATACATATATATCTATAACTATACCCCTGATCAACATCAATTAATTATCATAGTTCCTTTCTCTTAATCATACTCCTAATAAAATGTCTTTTTCATTTGTATATAGAGTAGTGGTTCCTCTTCCCTTTTTTTCCCCATACATTCTTTTGTATGACTTCTGGAAAAAAATCAAGAACATGCTTCGCAAAAATCTAGGCCCCTACCTTTGGTAACTAATTCCTTGTGTCAAATATATATAATTATTACATTTTAAAATAGTACATTCAAGAAGCTCCAAAATATTAACACTAAGTTTTATGTTTCTGCCTACTTTAAACTGTTAACAAGTGAATGAGGTATGATTGTTACCATTTTGTAAATAGGAAATTGTATAAATGACTCAGGTGGTCTAAAGAAATATACACATAGGAAAAAATCACTAGGATGTAAACTGTGCTGCTGGAAGTGTTGGAAGTATATCTTCCGGATGGACCATATGTTGGTGGTAAACCACTGCACCATGACAAAAACATAACACCTTTTCCCAGGAAGGCCTTTGTTTGTGGACATTCTATTAACTTATTTCACTCATGTACAGCTAATGCTAGGACTCTGTCTGGAGTAATAACATGACAGTGTGTCACAAAGTACACCAGTGGGTAGGCTAGAAGAAAGGCCTATGGGGGGACATGTTGACTGACCAGGGTACAAGTACAACCAGAGGCCACATGGAATCATCCAGTAAGCAACTAGCGACACAATTACTAGTTTATTTACAGTTGTGATAAGTGCTGTGAAAGAAAAGTAGGAAATGCTTAACTAGTCTCAGATTAAATAAGCCTTCTTTGAGGAAGATACTTTTAAGTGTGGCTAGAAGGAAGAACAAATGTCAAATAAAGAAGGGCTAAGCTAGTGCAAGTTGAGGGTTGGGGGGACAGCATGTGCAAAGACCCTGAGGCACAAAAGAGCTTGCTTTCTTTGGGGAGCTGAAAGGTGGCCCTCGAGGTTTCAGTACAGTGGTCCAGGGGAGAACAGCACACAATGAGCTTGGTGGGGTAGGCACAGTGCAGATCATACTTGGCCTTGTCCAAGATAGGCATATTAAGGATTGCATATTTCAACCTTAGCTAAATGGAAAGCTGTTAAGGGACTTTAAGTAGAGAATAACATATGGTCATAAGTACACTGGGATGAGGTACAGGGCTTCAGACGCAAATATAGAAGACCACATACAGGTTAAAACAATGAAAGTGAAAGACATTAAGAAGAGGATGCTGGCCAAGGACAGAACCCTTGGTAACACAGGTGCTACTGGCAACCACCAAAAACCTTCCTTCTCACTCATACTGTGTCTGTGGTGCAAAGCTGAACACAACTTTGACAGTGGTCACACACCTTTTCCCAGATCCTGAGTTAGCAATTTATCAATAGGTGACTTACATTCTATCTTCTAAAGCCATCTTGAGCTAACATCAACATGAATATTACATAGCTATCTAACTGTTCATATATTTATATTTCGTACTCCAAATGGGCTGTGCCTTACAAGTCCTTGCATTATCCATCCATTCCAATAATTGATTTTAAAAATCGAAGAATTTCTGGTCTGGAGGGGACAATCCTTTACCTTCATTTTATTATTTTTTTATAATACTGACTTGGAATTAAGTTGCTCTACCAATGGTAAAGCAAACAGCATAGCTTTCCACAAAAAAATATGGGTGTTCTGAAATCTAGGGAAACTCCTTGCATACTAAGCCCAATCTGTACTCATTTCTCAGCTGGCTCAACAGAAAGAAAACAAGAGAAGATATGTGGTTCTCCTCCCACAACTTCTGGATGGGAAAAGAGGCCTCCTTGAATGTGTGCTCAGTGTGTGCGGCAGACACACACTGGGCACTTATTCTAGAACACTTATTCTAGAACGGCTTCATAGGGGCACCTGCCCCTTCTGCCCGTGGGTCCACACCTCTCAGGAACTTCAGGAAACAGATCGCTGAGCTGAGGCCCTCTATAGGTCATCTCTGACTTTCCACTTGTTGTTCAGACATGGTTCCCCACCCCAACGCCCAAATATGCAAACAATATGAAATCTTAGGGTAAAAAAGAACTCACCGATTTGGCTCGAATTTCTAAATATAGCCTTTTATTTGCCCTTCCCAATCCTGTTGAACCCCTCAGCTCAGAGTCACTTTGCCTACAAGTCTGTAAAGAAGACCTCTGTCAAGGGCTGAGACAACATGTCTACTGGTGACCACTGGACTCCTATTTGCCACAGCTGAAACAAAAGCACATCAGTAAGGACGTGAAATGAGGTTTGTCTTCAAAACCACCCACTCTTCTGACATCTTTCTATGGTCTCCAAACACTTCCCTCCTCATTGCATCGCACAACTGTTTCTTCATGGGAATTCTTTTCCCATCTCTGTGCATTGCTGATTCACAGCTCATCAGGATGAGACATTCAAGTCCTGGGTGGTCAGGAATACTCTAGTCGTCCTCTGATTTTGTGCATCTTTGTTATATAATAGAAAACACTTCCATGTGGGGATCATGGGAGCACAGTTCAGAAGCACGTGGCTTTCCAACCTCATGGTTAGGGAGGGGTTTGCTCTGCCTAAGTGTGGAACTGGCCCAGCCCCACCCTTTACCAACACAACAAATCCCTGCTAAGTCCTCACAATCCTCTTTGTAAAAGCCCTGAGGATTTTCTCAGACTGAGGCAGAGGCCATTCGGCTTTTGCAAGATGTGCTGCCAACCCCAGAAATATCTCCAGGATGGTGGTAAAAGTAACACCACAGTGTGTGTGCCACCTGACAGTATCCCCAGCTCTCCCTCTGCACCTCATGAGCCTCTGTGAGTGAGTGACAATCACAGCTGATGTGGGGTCAGGGGCAAGGGTGACAGCAGCTGGCAGTCACCTGCCATCAGAGTAGCCAGACAGGGTGACAAGACCTGGGTACCTGCACACCCCCACACATGTGTCTCATCTCACTAAATGACATGGAAGCCCTTGAAGGTAGGAACCAACCTACCCCGGGGGTGCAAATTGTGCTCACCCTCTAGGTATCAATTAAGGCTGATCAAGTGTCTAGGCAAACAGACTAGGAAAACATCTGGCACCAATTATGTGATGCGCTATGGACTGCCTCAGGCACACTTACAACACTCCTGGCCTCAGTTTCCATCTGAATCATGCAGGCAGCATCCCAAGCCAAGCTGCCAAAACTCTTAAGAGTTTCCAACCCAACAGATTTGGTAAAATCTATAAAGGAGGAAGCCCTGTGGCAACAGGAAGCATGGCCCTGGTCAGCACCTCCCTACTCCACCCACCTAAGCTCTTCCAACTGGCGGCTCTCCCCAACACGGAAGAAAAACACTCTCAAAAGGGAGGTCACAGGGCTGCTAAGCTCTACGCACACAAACTGGTCCAGACTACTCAGCTCACCCTCCCACTCCAAGGTGGCAATGGAGAGAGGCGACAGTACAGACTGCTCATCGAGGTGGACAATCCAACCACCTAGATTTGTGTGTGGACCGGAGGAACAAGATTCATCTTCCTAATGACGTTTCACTTTTGGCTATTATCAAAATTAGTCTGCAAACCCAAACACACAGTGAGTGGGTGGTGGAGGAAGACAGCCACAATGTCCCTGGGGTGGGAGAAAAGGGAAGCAAGAATCACAGTTTTGCTATGTAAATCATGTAACCACAGATAAGGGTAGATGGAAAGTCAAAGGAATGTATGACTCCCCCTTTGACTTTTGTGATAAAAGGACCTGCCCCAAACTTCAAAGAGTCACTGGCACAGGAAGCTCAGACGTTGTAGATTTTGGAACTAAAAATACAGTGTGGCAATTCCCTGAGTTCCTTAAACAATCTTTCCAACTAATTAATTTTCTTGTTCACATGCTGTGTGGCCTGGAACGTGGGTCATAGGAACAGCTTATGAACATGAACACACACACAGACACACAGACACACACACACACACACGTGCGCTCGTGCTGGAAGGTGATCAAGGAAAGGATACCAAAAAAACTTTTTAATAAGAAAAGCAAAAATGGTTTTAAGTTGGTGTTTTTAAAATTCATTTCCTAATAGAAGGAATTCTTAAATGATGAATTCTCTTGTTTCCAAATCATCTGGCCCTCTCCTGAATTCTCTAATGGCCTGCTTCAAGCCAAGCCCTAAGTGTCTTAGGCTGCAAGACAGACAACAAAAACAGTCCTAAAACTTATCCTCAATGTTTCTTTAAAAAAAAATAAAATAAAATTTAACAGAAAGAGAGTGATTAGAAATTATAAAAATGGAA